ATAACAAGATGAGAGGCTAAAAGACACCACTGTTTCAGATATGTTTTACAGAAAATCGTACACGAATTATTTGATCACTGGATGGGACATATACGTTGATACTATGATAGTAAAACTTTGTTTGGCTCGAGTTCTCTAACCATAGTACTTTATTTATTTTTATGATACCAACTGCCTGGACGAACAAGTCGTTTGCCTGGTGGTAAGCGATACACCTGTCCGTAACAATTGCAGTGGCCGTTTCCTCATGCTCCTACTGGGTGCTCCTAGTGGTACGAGCACGAAGACTAATATATACTTTTGCTCCTACCGTGACGTCGTATCTAATAAGTACACTGAACTAGAATAAAAAAAATATCAAAATAAAAAAGTCAAAAATATGTTTATTTCATAGGTAAGAAGAAAATTACACTTGAAGTTTATTGGCTTCATATAAATGGTTGTTGATTATATGTTCATTCTAGAAAAAAGATCAAGTTAGAGTGTTAGTTGTATTAAAGCTACAGCTTTAATGGTAAAGATCTGACGAGCACTGGCACTGCGCCCGTCTCATGTACCTGTAATTTCACCAGCACCCTTATCCTTCAAAACCAGAATGCAGTAATGCTCACTAATGTGAGCATTACTGCATTCCGTAAAGCTAATCAGCTAAAGCAGTAATCTGCTTTGCGGAAATAGGTATAGTGGCAGTACTTCCCGGACGAACTCTATCACAAGGACCTTTACTGCTAAAATAAAAACAACCTAGGCTGTAGTTATAAGATGTATGAACGCTGTTAAGGTTACCTATTTTGTATCGTCATTTTTTAAATCAATTCTAAACTTTGTTTACTACAGTTCGCATAGCTACAAGGACCTCTTAGAAACCTATTAAACGTCTTTAAAACTAATACTGAAACGTTTAAAAATAACATAAAACTAAACATAACAACATAAGTAACTTCAAACTTAAAACCATAATGTGCAGTCTGAGTTGGGAACAACAAAATTTGGCGCGACATGTGTTTTACTCCTGATTCCCACATGTTCCCACTGCACAAATATTTATATATATCCACACTTGATTTTAAAACTATAATCTTGTTTGACTTATCTTTGACAAGTTGTTTATCTTGTTTTTGAAAAGATTGATGTCTTCTGTATGACAATAAGTAAAAAAAAATATGTCTTCAAAATTCTATAAATGAAGTAGCGAAAAGCAACTATGGTTTCAAATCTCGTTGTTGGTTTTTGTATTATTATTAATTTAGTTTTACATTAAAGTTCCAAATTTAAAAGTACTCGTATTTGACCTTTTCTACGATTCATTTTTATTTTTCTACTTTTTGTTGCTCGTGCACATTGCTTTCTCAGTTCTGCTTTTACGCTTGTGCAATAAACTGTGTACAATACATTTTCTGTAGTCTTTCTCACTCCACGTTAGAGCCCGAACACCATTATAAAGTCTACTACAAAAACTATGAATCTAATGAAATCTTTTGAATAGTAAAATGTAACGGAGGTACTTCAATATACGTGAAAAACATTCTCACGTATTTTCGCAAAAAATAAATTTAAAGTGATCGCCACATTACCTTTTCCAGATAAAAATTATAGCAACAACACACATATTTGTGCCGCCCGGAGCGAATCTTTGATATCAAATTCTTTTAGATCCGACCGCACGTATCTACATCCCTCGCATTCACTCGTACTTTTCAGATAACGTTCGACTGTTTCACGCCGGAATGTAAATAAAAATACATATTTCACTGCTTCACAAGTGTTCAAATAACATAGACATTTTCAGCCGCTTTATGAAGTCAGGATTATAAAAACAATGGTCAAGTGTCTTTTAGAACCACCTTATTATAATTTAATGTCCATACTGGCTGGTTCTTGCGACTAATAGCAATATCGTTTCTACAGTTTTTCATAAAAAGAACATTTCAACGTACTGTTTTGTGATTTATGTATTTTTACATTTTTACACATTGATTTTGCTAAAAAAATCTATCAATAAAAAAAGAGGAAATTTATTTAAAAACATGGAGGACACACGTAGTTTGTTGAGAAATGGAACTTCCATTATGAGGCTGTCAGCTATCTTTCCTGATCATCGTCTCACCATAACTTGCCCATGAACTCAAGATCTGTGAAATAAACTTTCCAGAAATGCAAGTTTGATATAAAAAACACGGAAATGACCTATATAATACAAATATACTAAATTCAATTCATTTATTATCAGTTAATTGATCTTTATACTAAGTGATGGGACGAACAAGTCATACACCTGATGGTAAACGACACGCCTGCCCATAACAGTTGCAATGACAATCAGAGCTTTAAATGGCAAAGATCACCCTGAGACATGTTGAAAAGTTTCATGTGCCTGTAATTTCACCAGCACCCTTACCCTTCAAAACCGGAACGCAGTAATGCTCACATTACTGCTTGGCTGCAGAAATAGGCAAGGTGGCAGCACTTCCCTATCCGTATCGACTGGTCTCAAGTCTATCTATCATCTGATTCGAATGACGCCGTTAAACTTTTTTACAATTTAATTAATAATACACTTGACTCTACCGTTCCATATAAGATCAACTCATATCATAAGATTTCTCATTATCCTGATTAGTAAATGTCAGAGCTAATAAATTTATTGAAATTAAAAATCACTACCATACTCTATTCAAAACTACTAAGTATGAACTATATTACCGGTTTTTCTATTTTTATCGCAAACGATGCAAGTTGCTGACGGCTGCATGTTATTGTGCTCATATAAATAAAATAGGCAAATATATCAAGTTTAACCCAAGGGCATTTTGGTCGCATGTTAAATCGATTAGATAATCAAATGATCCGTCTGTGTTCGGGAGATCCAATTCACAGGAAGTCGCAGACGATTTTGCGACATTTTTTAGAAACGTCTATCTAACTTGATATTTATAGCGCTATGAAATAACTCAAGCCTTAACTGACCCAATGCCCAGACTTGTGGAAAGGTATTCCATAAGTTATAGTAAAGGATTGCACGGAAGCATTCACTAACCCCCTATACCATATCATTAATTTGTCCCTAAAATGCAATACATTTTTGTATTGCATGAAACCGCTTTGCACAACTCTATTTATGAACAACTTAAAGGGTAGTTCTGTGATCAACAGCATGCATTTCATACAGGTCGCTCTACTGCTTCCAATCTTATCAATATTACTACGATCATCTCTGACGAGCTAGACTCCAGAAAGCAAGTTAACGTTAGTACGTCTTACGTTATTAAGTATACTTACTTAGACTTTCAGAAAGCATTTGATCAGATTGATTGTGATGATCTACTAAGGAAATTAATACTTACCGGTTTCTCAAAAAACAACCGCTTTTTTCGCGGACTACTTGGCAAACCTTCAACAATATGTATATTACAATAGATGCTTATCTCTACCTTATAAAGTGAACTCTGGTGTAGGTCAAGGTGGTTGTCTTGGACCACTCCTGTTTTTAATTGTAATAAATGATTTGCCACTAACTATCCGACACAGCGAGGGTCTCATGTTCGCAGATGACGTTATATTGGCCAGGACGATTAAGTCTGATGCTGATTGTGTGCTCCTGCAAAGGGACATTCATAACGTGAACGGGTGGGGAAGGGATAATAGTTTACAGTTGAATGTTGAGAAATGTACAGTGTACGTCTTTTTCTCATGCTCACAAACAAGTAATCAGTAATTACAAAATAAATGATACTCGGATTAGTCGAGCTAAATCAGTCAAAGACTTAGGCACGTGATTCAACACTGAGCTCACTTTCCGAGAACATATCACAATAATTGTAAATCTTCCCGCAAGTGTCTCGGTTTCGTCTTAGGACAGACAAAGTCGTTAAAAACCAACCTCATGTCGTGTCTTTTGTATAACTCTTTTGTTCGGATTTCACATCACAACCACACACGAACAGTAGAGAAAATTCAAAAGACATTTGCTCGAAATTTATACAAGAAGATGCACAGATATTGCTCCTTACTTTATCCCACAAGGTTTATTTTAGGTATGGTAAATTATAGAATGCTAGAAGTGAGACGCAATCTCGCTCTTGTAACTTACATGTTTCGTCTGGTACGGGAAATATTATACAACCCATTTTTGTTGGTTAGGGCAGGCTTTATCGTACCTAGAACTAATCTGGTGCGACTTCATAGAATGCAGTTATTTGCAATATCATCACACGATGTAGCGTGAGTGAGATGGCCCCTCTGCCCCGAGCACTTAAGTATCTAAATCAACTGATTTTTAACTTTGACTCCTCGTTGGACCTTTTTACATGCTCAAAATCAAAATTCATGTTTTCCGCAGTACGCTGTCTGGAGTCCTTGACCAGAGACAGCAGTGTTAAGTAATAGGTATTATATGTTAGTTTAAAATATAATAACAAATGGATTTTATCTATTTTTTTATTAACGTTCATCTGTAATAATTATTGTTTGTAGTATTGCATTGATAATTTTATCAATTTTCATATTTTATTTATTTTTGTAATTTACTTAATATTGTTTGTTCATTTAGCTTTAAGTCTTACTATTACGTTTGGCTTGACTGTAAGCAATGTGATAAATAAAATAAAATAAAATCCCTGGACGAATTCTTTCACAAGGAGCTCTACTGCTACTAAATCATTTCTCAACTTGAAACTTATAAGAAATGAAACTATTTTTCCGGATTTAAATCGCGTATATTTGTTTTTTCAAACAAACCGACGTTTCGGGCCCTTTACTGGTCCCATGGTCACGGTTGACTGAGGTGGTATAGTCTTCAACCAGTTATGTCTAATATTGATGCAAACCACCTTATTTTTTCACTATAGTTACAATAGTTATTAATTAAATACCTTATTTTGAAAATAATTGAAACTTATTTTAGACGGAAATTCTATATAATAGTTCTACACGTAACTTTGTTCCAGATTCCACACATTGAAGATGATAACAATGAAAAGTATTGGAAGATCGAGAAGATGGCGGCCCAGGCCTGGTAGATGGCAGCACGGAGTGATAGCACGCTGAGGTAACATGGCGGCCGGCGTAGGCGCGTGGGGCGGACGACCTCTCGCGCGCTTACTGCTTCTCGCTATTTTACATGTAAATTTTATTGGTAAGTTGTTATAAAATCAGTTTTATAATTTATTTATCTTCTCGTTGACCGTTAAAAATAACAATCAAACTCACGGAAATAGTAATTAGACGTGTTAACCACAATAGAGTCGATTTTAATACTAAGAATAGAATTAAAAATCGAAGGGTTACCCCATGTCGAAAGTCAGATAAAAGCATTAAATCTTAACCTTATAGCCCATACATTATATATTTTTTAAGTTTTTTATTTTAATTATGTTTTTGCTTTTCATTAATTTACGTAGTAAATTCAATTCATTTTCACTACCAAATCAATATTAACTCGCAATTTGTTTTATATAGTAAGTATAACATAAGTAATTTAAGTAACTTTGAATAAACTAACTAAAAGTGTTCTATTTTAATCAATTTATCACGAATAATTAACGTATTAGAGGTTTCTTTAAAATAAATTTTCATGCACTATTAAATTTATTCGCATCTCTTTCAAGCCAACCTCCCAAATCATGAAGCCAAACCATAGCCGAACCCATAATTAGTTAAGTTAAACAATTTCGAAATTTTTCCATGCGTTGAGTAATTTAGCTAAGTAAGTAATTTATCAATTATTTTTGTAGGTATAATTCAGAATAACATGGTTTGAGAAGTTTGAGAAGACCACTGTTTGACGATACAGATTAGATGATAGAATATATGTCTGTCGTACAGATGTTCATCGATTTATTTGATCTGCGAGTTACTTTTGCATTCCAAAACTTCTTTTACTTAGCAATAGTAACCGTTATGCAGCATTTGGTGGTTTATTTGTAAAAAAAACATATACGCGATTTATATCCGGAAAAAACTAGTGTCATTTCCAATGTGTAACAATCTCGAAAACCTAAGAACTCGATAAATAAGTAACTTTACTAAATATCTATATATAATAGTTAATGTCAGTTGTTAATTAATATCCATATAAATATGCTTGTACCGACGTCGAACTAAGTTAAGATAATCTTGTTTGCCTAGGCAAGAACGTTGCGTGGGCAAAGCCTGAACCGATGAGCATATGCGGCCAAAACACGATATCGTACATTTTCAACATTTGCCCGGACCCTGTCCACAGTTTTGCACTCGGTCTCATTTCACAAAGTGCAAGCTTTCACAACGTTTGCGCAAAACTCAGCACCATGACACCACACTTTCGAATTCATGTACTTTTTTTAACATGAATTTTAAAACTGGAATATGTTAGATTAGAAAAGCAGCTGTTTCAATTCATTTATATCGAAATGTTCGTTTGTAAACAACTCTCAGGCTTTCAATAAAATAACTGTTTATATTTTTATAAACAGCCACTTAAAAGTAATGGTTAATGTATAAAAAGGGACATTCGCAAATGTATTTTTTGCGGATACTTTTGAGGCAATTCATTCAACGATGATAAAAAATAAAAGCTATGTGGAGTAGCGTGGATAACCCTTTCAGGAGTCAAAGCGCGGGCTGCTCGAAATCCTCATTGAAAAACGGCCTACGGGTCAGAATGTCAGAACACCCCTAAAACACGCATGATGTCCCCTGTGTTGCAAAGATTATGGAGCGAGGCAAACGACCTATCGGAATTACAAAATACAGGTACGACACGTACAGGGAAATGCTTATCCCTACCTACTGATAATTTTTTTCCAATCCGAAAGATTAAATTAAACAACTACTTCATACTTAATAACAAAATAATTGTTTAATGCACAATTTTTGTAACGCTAAAACACGGCACAAATTTTTGTAAAGGAAAATTTATGGATTCACGAGCCGACCTCGTAAGCCCATGAACGCATAAGACCAGCGCGGCAAGCAAGGGCGGACGGAATTAATTTAATCTCGTTGTAAAATTTTCACTTGCCACCTTATCTCGCGTCGTATTGTCGTTTTATTGTGCCTACCCTGGAACCATTAGCGAAAATGTCACAGCGACGGCATTGTAATCGCGCGCCCGTGGCTCGCCCGCACAATGATGCGGCCGTTCGACCTCGCTCGTCTACACCCGCCTTTACCTTTATGCTCTGATACAAATTTCAGTTTCTATTATAAATGAGGACGCGCATTCATATTATTTCGGGAATGTATTATATACCTTTCCACGAATCTATTGTATTTCTGGAAGTGCCGACTACAACCTGCGTTCAAAGAGGATTCGAAAATATTTGAATGAGTAAACACTTTTGCGATTGTATGTCGTATACCTTTCACCTCTCGAATTCTTAGCCTTGGAGTTAGCAAATCTCACGGGTCCGTGTGAGATTCCTGTCACGTCGGGCGAGTGGCCGACAAAGGAAAGAGGGCTTGCATACCTTATTACCACCTTTTGCCAAATCCGTACTTATGTGAAACACGACACGCTCGCGTAATTTAAAATGGCATGTGGCCGCTCATAACGTAATTGTATGAATTACTTATTATTCTTTTAGATCAATTTCCTTTAACGTAACAAACTTCGGTCTTTGTAGACGTACCTACTTCGTCTAAGTGTTATAAATGAATATTTATAACACTTTTAAAACAATTGCCAATAGAAACAAATTATCTTAAAACAACCATAAAATGAAATGGCAGTTCTCAATTCAAACATAATAAAATGATGGCGGCAAATGGTTTACCTCGGCCGTATTTAAAAGGTAAAAATTATTATCGGACGGGCCTCTAATTTTGTCGTGCTTATTTCTTGCATATTTTTCTGGGATAATGTCACTGCGGCTTGGCCTGCAATTAATCAGCGAGTCAATGAGCCGTTGTTTGGACACAGTTGATGAGCAATCCTTCCCTGGCGACTTGTCGAGCTACTTACTGGGCTTTTAGCAAGAGCCGTTAAAGCTCTCGTGGAAATCGAAAATGTTGTATATTTTTAAGTAATTCCTATTTCTATTTAGTTGATAACACTAATAAAGCAGTGTAATACAACAACACTAATACAGGGCGTTATCAAAAGTTGTGTCTATAATTTTCAGCTAGTAATCGTACTCATTTTAATGGGCGATGACCTCAAACTATAAAGTTCCCTATGCTACTCACTAGACTCAGACAAGAATTAATTTGGAAAATTTTGTTTCATAAATGGATACTACTTGGATTTCATAAGAAAAATCAAAAAAAGAAAGATCAAATGGAGGTGAAGTTCGTAAAAACCGAGGATTCTACATGTGCCTTTTATATAGAAGGTAGATGTTATCCCGTAAATGGAGGTTCAGGTAAAAGCTTATAATCGAGTTAGTTGGAAAAAGCTACACTAATGAGATAACGGAATTTCAAAAAATCATTCCAGGTCTAAGAACACTAAAACGAACAGAACCAATTTAGAAAGTTTGTTCCCTAAATTGATCCTCTGGGAAACCAGTCCGGGACCTCCTTAGGTGAACTCATGACTTCGGTACTTCACTGGGACCAAAACAAAGTAGATAATAACTAGTTAAATAAAAGTACCTCCCATTCAAAACAGTGTACTCTAAAAAGTCACCATTTGCGAGCCAACTACAGGTCGAGACCACTCCAAATCTTTATCTGGCTTTCGTAAAAGTATAAAAGAATTTACGTTACTTGGTACTTGGTGCAACGGGCTGGTATCCGCTACTCGACGACAAAGCGCCTATTTTGCGTGTGGAAGAATTTACGCTAATGCGACAAAGAAATGGCATCTGCTTCGACGTGTAAAATACCTAGTTGTTAGTTAGTTAGGATCAACTCACACTGGTGCAGGGTCGAAGCGTCCCGTTTTTCAACTACAACGCCTGGCGACGCGCGTCGACGTGTGACGACAGTCACATTAGTGCGCCTGGATCACAGTGTGGTCGGTGTCTGACAACTCACTGCGCTCAAGTAACGCGTGGCGTCGCGAAACGACACGCGAAGCCGCGTCCATATTTGCATAACACAATTTTGTACCTTAATTTTGGGAAAATAGAGATGAATATGCTATAGGCGAAAAACATGACGCGTCGCGACGCTTCGACTCTGCGCCAGTGTGAGTTGAGCCTTGGTCTCAAACATCATTCTTAGTATTAATTTTGTTATTTTATGTTGTGTGAAAAAGCACACTGCATGCATTTGCATGCAAAATTTTTAATATTACTGTAATTTTGTTCTTTTTAATTAGTTTTTGTTGTTTTGAAATTTAAACACGGATTTTTCGTTATGTCTATTCTACTTTGACAAATAGGAATAACCATCTACCTCCTCTCAGGCTCCAGCTAAAATCCAGCGCTGTGGCTCCGCCCAGCATTAACTTGATCTTGCTAGCCTTTTCAGGTTACTGTATTTTATATATAAATAAAATACATATTTTGTATTTTATTTTATCCCATTTTTTTATTTTAATTTAGATTCTTTGTATATTTTATTTGTAATAGCCGAACAAATGGTTCCTTCTTTCTTTCAATGAGTCCAAACACGATTATTCTGCTGTGAGTAGTTAAGGATATGGGTAGTCTGCACAATGTCCTGCTTACTAACTAGACTAACTGCGAAACTAGCTGATGATCTTTAAACAGCTGAACAGATATTCGTCAAGAAGAATGAAGAGGAAGAAATAGCGCTAAGGCAATAAAGTCGTTAAAAAACCAAAACAGAGATCTGTAACAAGCACATAGAAAAATTCGTAAGGTCCATTGGTTCGTTCCGTGGCTTAGTTGGCATAGTGGCGTGGCTTAGAAGACGTTGGTTCGAATCCAGCCGGATCGAAGGAATATTTTGTAAATGTCAATCTTTGTATAACATATAACAAACTAGTGAAGTAATTCTACTACTCTATTATAAATAATTTCACAATATTCTTAGTACAGAGTACTATAAAACCGACCTCAAGAATTCGTGGAATTACATCTATTTGCCAAGTTTTATTGAAATCGGTTATCGGAAAGTGCGTGAAACTGGATTCATCGTTTACTTTGCTACCCTTAGAGGTGGAGCATTTTCTTCAAATTTAAATGAAACCAATACTGAGGTACCCTTCTTTCCAACTAAAAAGAAACATCAAAATCGATTCAC